GTGTTCCCAAGAGCATATTTCTTCGGAGGTGACGGCCAGCGAGTAGGCGGCGCCTGTGGTGGAGGAAACAGATGAACAGACATCTCGCTCCATCGTGGCCGACTACGGGTTGAACCGGCAGCCGCATTATGAGCGTCGCCCACCTTCACCATGCCATGATCGTCAGCTACACAGCTACACCACCGGATGAGCAGGCAGCATCGCTCGCAGCATTGCGTGACTCTGCTTTCAATGACGAGCTCAACGAGCTAATTACTCTCAAAATCGATGGGTGCGGACATCTTTCGATCAACATCCATCTCTCCCACCTCGGTATCCCCTCTCGAAGGGTAAGGGTCATGCTTCGACATGTGAACCAAAAGCGCTTCGATAGGCATTATGGGTTGTGTATCGCGGCGCGGCTTGTTTGCCAAGTCGTTGGTATGAACAGATCCGGAACCTTCGGCTGATAACCAATTAATTGCCAGATGATCAGAACGTGATATTGTTTTAAGATGGTCCTTTGATATCCATTCTCAATGACTGGAACGCTCATGGTCAATATGGCACCCTGATGTCGTCAGGTGTGCGGAGGCGTGCAAATAATAAGTGTGATGATACGCGGGCGTTAAGGGGAAGGCCTGCGCACCCTTGTTCAACGATTTTTAGCCGAACGCACAGCTTGAGCCGATCAATGATCAACGTCGATTGGCGATGATTGCGGCGGCGGCGGTGAGAGACGGCAAGGATGGAGCCATATGCATTAGAATACGTTGAACGAGCGGCTTGCAGAGCTATGGCCCAAGGTCCCACGCAAAGGACATCATCGGCATCGTTCTACATGGTACTGGCACTTATGTCCCTCATAGCTGTCCACGACGCCAGCAAAGATAAGAACCGACCGAACTGACAGCGAAGCCGAAACCGACCGACGCCGACGAACAAAAAGCAGCCCAGAAGGGCGGAGCGACGCACCAACCGACCGAACCGAGCCGAGCAGGTGCAGCCGGCTGCAACGATGTCGACCGCACCGAGTCGTGGACTCCCTCGCTCCTCCATTCTGTCCGCTAGCACGAAATCAAAGACAACATTTTTGGCTCGCTGGCACTGGCACTCCCAGCCACTCGTCGTGCGGCCGGCATGTCTGCAGTCCACGAACTCATGGGAAGCGACTGCGCGGCTGAGTGCGGAGCAGTCTAGAGACAAAGCCCAGCATGAATCCGCAGAGAGTCCACACTGCTGGGCCCCGTACGTCTGCGACCATGAATGCATCAAGCATGACTCCAACGACCCTGCAGGCGAAGCTGCGCGCTCTGCCGGACCAGCGGGACCTCACATCCTGATCTTAGGCTTCTGCCCAAGGTAAAGATTGCGCTCGCTGAGAAGCAGGAGAAGGACGAGCCGGGGGGAAGTCAGCGGGGGCGACGCCAGCGGAAACGGCACTGCAGCATGGATGCTGTGTCGGCACAGGGCTGGGATCCAGATGGTCAGGTCACCGCTGAGAGATCGCTCACCGCGATGAGCGACAAGCGGTTATGTTATGATCTTTCCCTGGTGCCACCCCCCATGGAGAATCTCCAGCCCAGGCCGCGACGCGCGAAGCAAGATCATCCTCACGCCCACGCGAGTGACCTGAGACGCGCGGCAGGACACGAGACTCTTCCGAGGGTCACAGCTCCACAGGAATGTAGAAGTCATGGGTCGCGAAACACAACCCAAAAGGGTAATTACCCTGGACTTGGCAAGACCGACCTACTAATCAACTTCGGCCGTACTCTTCGTGCACCCCCTCGTTCCTGGGCCGGCTTCGCGACCCGCGCCCCGCGCCCCGCAGCCATCCCTGCGCCTCCTGGGCCGCCCTCTGGGGGTAATTAACGAACGGGGGGGTCGCGAATCAGCCCACGGACGGTGCAGTGGAGGCCAGTCCACAAGAGGCATTCCACAAGAAACCCAACCCCATCGATTTTTGGTGTGGGGACGTCACGCTTTCCATCGCAAAATCATCGAAACCTAAGAAACCCAGGCCACCCTGGAGGCAAGAAGGGTGTTTCTCCGCATGGGCCACCACTGTAGGCTCGTGTCGTGACGGCTTGGACCTTGGTTTCTGTCCGCGCCGGCGTCGCCATTGCGTCCACGCGGCGCGAACCTGCCATGGCTGGTCAAGCAGGAGGCGGGAGAGGACACGTGAGTGGCCTGGGCCGTCCGCCGGGAGGGGGGGCTGGCAGCTGACGTCGCCCACCGAAGACCCCTCCCCGGGGACGGAGAGGATGGCCGCGGCGCTGAAGCCGGCCCTCCACCTGACGACTGGACGCCGACTACAGACGAGGCATCGTCGTCGTGTGTTCCTGTTTGTATGTCGTCTGCGTGGGGGACATGGAGTATGAATGACATGCTGCCGTGGGGAACTCATCCCATCGGCGTGTCATTGAGGGACGAAAGACCAGGTTTCGGACAAAGGCGACTATGTCGCTGACGGGCTGACCACGGCAGCGTGCAAATGATACAATGCTCCCCTCCTGGGTGCGTGAGAATATATACACACATATGGAAATGCACATACGCTCATGTTCGTGTATATGTATGCATATGTATGTGTGTGTGGAAGCTGCTATGTATATGTAGATGTGTGGATAAATGTATATATAAACGTATGGATACGCATGTGTCTATGTATATATGTTTATATATATATATATGTAAATGTGTATGTAAGTGCATATGCAAATGTACATGTAAATGCATATGAACATGCATATGACAATGCATATATGAATGTATATGTAAATGCATGCGTACATGTACATGTACATATATATATGCGAATATGCAAACGTATACGCATGTGTATATGGAAATGGTTATGCTTATATACACAGACATGTGATCTATATATATAGTTGCATCTATATTTGCATATATGTATATGTATACGTATGTGTAAATGGCTGTATGCGTATGTGTATACGTATACAGATGTGTGCATATGTCAATGTACAGATGTATATGTATGTGAATGTGTATGTGAACGTATATGTATATGCATTTGTATATGCCTATCTGTCTATCTGTCCGTCCGTCCATATGTCTTTCTCTCTGTCTCTCTGTCAATGTGTGTGTGTGTGTCTGTCTGTCTGTCTGTCGGTATGTATGTACGTGTGTATGTGTGCATGCGTGTAGGTGTCTATGTGTTCATTTGTGCATGTTTGTATGTTATGTATGGGTGCATGTATGTACGTATGCATGTGTGTATACATAATGTATACACTCTTGGTTGTGACCCTCGTCGCTCGAGGAGATCTGGTGGCTGTGACCGTTCTACTATGTACTATGTGTTTCAGCCTCGGGGTGCTTTCCTTGCAGCTACGCCTCGCCGAATGCGTTTGGGGCGTGCCAAAATCGTCCCGATCGGCTGCCCGAGACTCGAGCTATGACCCGCTCCTGTGCAGGATCGGTGTCTAGCCCTGCCAAGCCAGGAGGGCGAAGTTACACACCGATGCTGGGCTAGGATGTGCTTGGCCAACATCGACGAGGTGGTCAGCCGATGTCCCCGATACGGTCAGACCCGGGACAGAAGAACATCCTTCAAGAACATGAGACCCTCCGCCGGCCCGCTCTGAAGAATATTCGCGGGTGCCCTCCTCAAGATGCACAACAACATCCAACGAGAACGACGATCATTAGGGTGCCCTCCCCGAACAGACCTCGATCTTATACCTGGGTCCGACCGTACCGTGCACGTCGGTCGGAAGAAGTGGGTAGAACCTTGAAGTACGAAAGCGTTAAAAATAGACTGGGCTTCCGCCTGCCCCCTGACCAGGAGGGAAGTGGGACAACAGCTCGACTCCAGAAGCAGGGAGGCGCCTGAAATAGATTTGGATAAGGCATCCGAAAACACTGACTTTCAGCGACCGGCGCGTGTTTCTACACCGATGCTGGGGCCAGGATGGGCCTGGCCATCATCGGTGGATTGGTCGGCTGATGTCCCCGATACACTTATATAGAGAGAGAGCGGGAGAGGAAAAAAAAAGACGACAGCAAGGCTCGAACTAAACAATGTGTTTCGTTTCCATGTTGTTTCCGTTTTCCTTCGCTCTGTTTTCGTTCTGGCTTTGTTGCGAAACGAGATCAACACGAAACACCGTTTAGCTGGAGTCCTGCACGAGAGGAGGGCATCGAGTTGCCCCTGCGGAGCCTCTGGCCTGCCCTGGGACCTCCCGGGCGACCTCGACAAACAGAGACCACCCGAGGCCTCCAGGGGCGCGAAAGACCCAGACCTCCTCTCGTTGCGAAAACAAGTCACGACGGGAGTGGGCTGCTATGCCAATGTTCGGACCCTGCAGATCCCCAGGACCGTCAAAACCGACTCGGGATCAAAAACTGGTCGCTGGGAACGGGTCCAGACGACCGGGGATCCACGTTGTAAAAAAACACGAAGTCAATAAACCCATGCTGGTGATAATAATCCCCTGGGGATAAAAAGTGCGGGGGTTCAGGCGGGAAAATCTGTTCCAGGAGAAATCGATGTTAGGATGTCTGAATCATCGAAAAACTGACCGTCGCGAACTCAGCGAATCTACGAAAATGTAAGTTTCGCCAGAGGCAACCTTACAAGAATGACATGTTCGCGACTGTGCCTTTTACAAAACACAGCGTTTTCTTTGAGACATCATCGGCAAACTGATAGTAGCAAACTCGGCAAATCTTCGAAACGTTGCGTTTCGCTGGAGACATTCTCAAACATGATAATAAGGATTATTCGTGGTTCTATGCATGAGATGAAGATCCGAGCTACGATAGGATCTCCGGAGGGGATAGGAAAGTTCGGCCTCCCCGCCTGCTGTGGCAATTGAATCACGTCCAATCCCGTGGATGAGAAACAGGAATAGTGAGGGCGATGCTGTATTATCCGGTGGCTGGGGTTGAAGACCGCTTGGGCATGGATACTACGGTAAGTTCGCGTCGCGACGACATGAGCGTTGGTTCATGACACCGTGTGGAACGTTCAACCCTGAACGACCGCGGCATTCCGATAGCGCAGACCATTCTATGTCGGCCGAGCCGAGGCGGCTGGCAACGGTCAACCTAGAACGCCCGAGCCGGGGCCGCCGACGCGTCGACACGACGCAGACATGCCGCAGTGGGGCTCGAGACCTCTTAGGCATTTCCTCGGGTCTCTCCTCCAGCGCTCTCCTCGTGCACCTGGGCGCGAGCGTGACACCAAAGAGGCCTTGCTCCTTATGTGAGCTTCTTTTGCGACAGCGCTTCGATTGTACAACGCACCGACACCAAAGCCTGGTCTGGACCAAGTTGTGCCCAGAATTGGTGCACAGCCATCGTGCTTACATGAGAAACGCTGAAGGGGCGAAGGGGCTTTTCTGGCCACGGCGAGCCTCGGCCACGAACATGATGCTCCCCGACCTAAAGCGATGTAACGGCCCTAGAACCAGAACTCCTGCTGACCCAAACATGGTCCTATGCGTAACGCATGCCATCAAATACGGGCTGTCGTCGAAAAATCAAGACGGCTGTTTTTGCTGACCGTTTCGCGCCTGGACCTGATCCTCGAGACATATCGGAAAAAGGGGGTCGAGAGGTCTAGTCGTGTTTCCCCACGGCTTCGGATCTCATGGAACACCTGGCCTACTCGATGCCCAGCCCTGGCTGGCGACAGCAAAAAACTAACTAGTCATACAACGGCCGTCGATGGGCCCATGACCAGCCTGGCCAGCTCTGTGTTGGTGGATGGTTGGCGCCCTCCGACCACCTGAGCCACCAGGGTGGGGCCATCTCGTACTTCCACACGAGGAAATCGGAGCTCAGCAGGCCGACCCAACCGCACAGCAGCCACATGGACCCCTCCTGGGGCGACGCCGTGCTCAGCACGGAGCCGAGCCACCCGAACAGGACGAACACCACGGGCCCGCTGAAGCGCGAGAGGTAGTACAGCGCCATGTAGTCGCTCTTCCGGGGCACGCCGAACTCGGCCAGCTGCAGGCCCCAGTGGGCAGCCCCCGCGAACGAGAGCACCGCCCCCGCGTAGTGCAGCGTCCAGCTGAGCGCCACCCTGGAGTACTCCGCCTCCGCCTCGACTTAGGCCGGGCATGTCCTCCTACAGGCGGATTTGGGAGGAAAGCGTGAAAACAGCATGCCAAACGATACGCAGAGTTCCGCCGATCCCGCGTGTGAGTTTCAAAGACCCTCGTGACAGCCTGAGCCTCAATTCCTGAGCTTCAGCTCTGCTAGGGGGTGGGTGCCGGGGTGGCTCTGCCGGGGTAGGGGAGGGGGGAGTCGATTGAATTCCCGGGGCGGGATCGGAACTGCAGCTCACTCCGGGACGGCCCCCTCGCCCAGGAAGGCCCCAACATGAGCCAAGAGGGCCCCGAGTCGCCGAACGATCGCTACAAGACGCCCAATATGTCCCCAACACGGCTCCAGGAGCCTCCAAGATGCCCTCAGAAGCCCTTAAAAAAAAATGCCTCCCACAGAAATCCCGAAGAAGCAACAAGTGCCCCACTCCCTGAAAAAACTTACAATTTTAGCATAGTCGCCTCTTGGGCCTTCAGAGCGTCGCAGACTCCCCACGAGAGCCCCAACACGGCCAAAGAAGCCGCCATGGGGGCTCCAAGACGGCCCAAGTGCCCAAGATGGCCCAGGAGGCCCCCTGAAAGGCCCAAGAAGGCCACAGGACGGGCCCAAGAGGCGCCTGAGAGGGCGCCAAGACGGCGGAAAAAGTGCCGAAGACGGCCCAAGAAGCCCCCAGCAGGCCCCCAAGAGGCCTGGTGAGGCCCCAAGACGCTTCCAACTGGCCCCGAAGAGGCCCCCTGAAGCCCCGGAAAGGCTCCCAAGAGTTTCAAAAAATGCATCCAAGACGCACGCAGACAGCTCTAGCACAAAGCTTTTCAGAGAGTGCTCCAAATCGGCGAGGTGTCAACCCAAAGAGGACCAACACCTCTCCCCAAAGAGGCTTTCCAACAACCGCCGAACATCTCCAACAACCGCCAAAAATCTCCTCATTCTTGTCATGCTCCTCCTTCTTCCTCCTAAATATAGAGGGACAGGCCCGACTTAAGCCTCGTCGTCACCTGCCAGCGCATGCACAGCGACCGCCCCGCCTGCCAGGGGCGCCAACAGCACTGCCGCCAGCGCTCTCAGGGAGGCGGGCGGGGAACGCTCGCCGGGCGTCGGCAAAGGGGTGTTCGGGTGATCGTTCACGAGGGGGCGTGGGGGGGGGGCCGTGACCCGTCCCCCTGAGCGGCTCGCTCCCTCTACCCCCTCTTTCGGCCGCATCCTCAGCATCCTCCTCCCTCCTGCATGGCGGCACAATTCGCTTCAACAGCATCCCGGTCTAGACCTTTCCGCTAGCGCAGATGTCCCCTGCCTCGCCGCCGACTTAAACATGTTCGTTAACGAGGAGGCGGCTAGGGAAGGTAGAGGCCTCCTAGATGGGGTCGGAATAGATGGGGTCCGAGGATCGCGCCACATCGCCGATGCACAGGCGATACATCGGCGATGCATTGGCGATGTATCGGCGATAAGCCAGCCATGCATCGTCGACGTCGGTAATGCATCGATGACGTCGGCAAATCGGGCTCCACATCGAGCCGTATCGGCGATGCATCAGCGACGCGGCGCGATCCTCGGACCCCATCTACTCCGACCTCATCGAGGAGGCCCCGAGAGGGGCCATCAACGCGGGGAGAATCAACGTGCACCCTTGGTGCACGCTGTGGGACCCGCGGAGGCAAGTCGAGTGCTGTTTCGGGCCACCTCTGGAATCCTCGATCCCCCGAGCGTGTGTTGGCAACACACGCGGGGGAAATCAACGCGCACCTTTCCTGCACGCTGTAGGCCCTTGGAAGTAGTTGAAGTGCCGTGTCGGGCCACCTCTGGAATCCACGATATCCCCCCCCCCGCGTATTTGCTGCCGTCCGCCCGTGGTGCTGTCGGCTCCCATGGGGTGAGCCCCAACCTCCGGGGCCCTTCTGGAACCCCAGGCGCCCCCCGCCGCGACTCATAAGGATGCGCGATAAGGATGCAGGGGACTTGGACGCCCATGTCGCAGCTGTTCGAGCGGGGCGCGGCCAACGAAAGTGGCCAAGGATGGGCCGAGGAGGCAAGGACGCAGGGGTACCCTTGGGACGGTTGCCCTTCCTTACCATGCGGGTTGGCTGCATCTGAACTGAACCCGTTCGGCGGCCCGTTTGGCCAGGCGCCGAACGAACTCAGGAGCCCCGAAAGCGGAAAACTGGGGAAGGGAAGCGGTATGGGTACCTTCTCCTTCTCTGAGCGGTGGTGGTGGTGCGCTTCCTGCTCCCAAAGCTTCTCCTCCTGTTCTGTTTTCCGACGGCTCCAGGGGGGTTCGAGGAGGGCCCCGGGTGCCCGATGGCTGCGGTCCAGACTTCCGAGGCCGCCCTCCCCTGTCGAGAGGACCCTGCCCATCGTGGCGGGCCACCTCTGTGGAAGCCCGAAGTGGGTGCGGGAAAAAATCGGCACGACGCCCAACCACAAATGTTGCCTGGACCCCCCCCAAGATCTCTCGGGCGGGCGCCCCCGTCCTCCTCCTCCTCCTCCTCCTCCTCCTCCTCCTCCTCCCCCTCCTTAATTCCTCCCTCTTCCCTCCCCTCATCCTTCTTCCTCCTGCTGGAGGCAGGGGCATCTTTTTGCCGAACCAGAGGTGCTGCCCAAAACCGACAGCAGCCGCTGTTGGGAAGGCGAGCACGTGTCTCAGATGGACGACGACCGCGTCGACGCCGACAGCGAGGCCTGTTCAGAATGAGCAAGAACTGCCGTTGGTCTTCGTGCCAATTGTTTCCGTACCCATTTCGGCCCTCCCGAACCCCTGCATCTTGGACTTCCTGGAAGGGACGCCGAAAGGCCGAGGCGCAATGGATGTGGGTGATACTCTGCCCCTGTTTCTTTTCCATACCCCCTGCGTCTCTGGTTCCTGTGGGAAGGGACGCGACACTCCCAAGACGCAGTGGGTATGGAGCTGGCTCTTGCCCGCGCAACCCCTGCCGACGCCCGAGCTCGTCGCGCGCCCACGCCGGCAGGCACGACTCCCCGGGCTCGGGGCTCCCCACCCACTTGGGCTCAAACTCCGCGGGCACCCGCGCGGCCAGCGCTCGCGAGCAGGGCCCCAGCGGCCCCCAGCGGCCCGCGGCCGGCGGCCGCCCGCGGGCGCGCGCGAGCGGCGGGCCGCCGGCGAGCGGCGGCCCGCGCGGGTGCCAGGCGGCGCCGCGCGCGAGTGTGGCGCGGGTGGCCGCCCGCGCCTGGGGAAACCGAAAGTATCGTCACCGACACTCCCCGAAACCAGTGACTCTGATGATGCGCCGATTTCCCACCACCACTGCCATAGGTAGGAGAGGGAGGAGGAGGAGAAGGAGGAGGAGGACCTCCCCATCCTCCTTTAGCCCTCGTCCTGCCTATGGTGGTGGTGGTTGGAATTTGGCCCATCGTCTGATACACCAGGAGGACCCCGAGGAAACCGCAACCGCAGGCCAGAAGACGTTCTCCATCACCCGTTCTCCCAAGCCGGGCTCGTAAATTCCTGAATCCTGGGGCCAAAGTCGGGGAAACCAAGTGGGACCGGAACCGCTGCTCCCCCGACATCTCCCGGGGTGCGCTGGGCCCAGAGTTTCGAGGCGAACCTGGCCGTGGCCACGAGGGCCTCCCAGGAGGCCCAGAAGGGCGAAGACGAGGCAGGGGCAGCGGTATCGGTACTCTTTCCTCCGCCGAGCGCCGCCGCGGAGCGCGACGCGGCGAGGGGGAGCATGCCGCCGACCTCGAGCCCAAGGGGACGGCGGGGCCTCGCCGGCGGCGACGGCGACGACGATGACGACGACGACGAAAACGGCGGTGGCGGTGGCGGCAGCGGCGAGGACGAGGTCGAAGAGGGAGTTCGGGAGGATGCTGGGGCCCGAGACGGCGAAGGCGGCGCCCCGCCGCCTTCGCCGTCTCCTGGGCCCTGGATCTGCACCGAGATCTTGGCTGTCCTCACCTGGCACCTTAGGTGGCAACTCGTGGGAGCCTACCGTACCATCTTGTTGGCTCTTGCGGGTCGACGCTGATCGACGCTCAGTCGACCCTAATCGACGCTAAACCGGTGCTTTAGCATCGACTACAAGACGCTAGCGCAGGCTAGTGCCTTCTAAAAATGGAATTGCGAGGACACCAACGGCCCCCATAATTTGCTATCGAATGAAACCAGCGGCAGAGAAATCCATCAGGGACGACGAACAACACAAATCCTGGTTTTAAGCGAGAAGACATAGCGACCTCACGCCGCGGCGCGGCTTAAAAAGGTCTCCAACGCGGAACACCGCGGTTGAGAAGAAGGCGCTGACGCGTGACCGTACGCGGGAAACGTATGCCCGAATATCGGCTCAATCGACCCCGCTTGCCTAAATCGCTGACATGTCAAGACCCGGAGATCCGCAGACGGATGTGGCAAGCCAGAAGGTGTGGAATCCAATGACCAACGTACGCACCTGTTAGAAGTGGCATGCACTCGGTATGTCCCCATGCATCGGAGAACTCCGAATACCTGATTTCACGATCAGACTCAAAGCGCGAATGATAACCAACGGCAATCGAGCACGCTTCAGTGCACGGTTGCTGACACAAATCTTCTTGTCGGCGCTGCTCCAGCAGGATATGGTTCGACTGACTTAACACGGATAACCTCGCATTCGGTACCAGCTGTGTTTAACAAGCATCATCACAAAGCCATTCCCACGATCAAGTACGTACGTACGTGCGTGGGCCACCCTTGAGGCGACCTCTGCATGGGCACCCCTTTACATCAAGCTGTCCATGCAGATCTGCAGGCCTGGATCATGGGTGGAATGTCTCAGCTTCGCCTTATCATATCATCTCGCCGGTTGGCGACGGAGTTCCTGACAAGCAGGAAACTCTCGTCTGCATCAACTTACAAAAGCTGTCATCATGCGACTCGTATTGCCATCTCTGTTCGAATCCCACTCATGCGGAAAAGACAAGCACGCTAGCCCGTCACGTTCGAACCCAACTGTCGCAATTTCGCACCAAAACGACTGCTCATAATGCACATCACAATTACCGGAAACCGAAGGAAAGGCCACGGTCTCAGCTTCGCCTTTTGATATCACGAAGATGGAGGGCCTCACGCGACTCCACGCCTGCTCAAATTACAAAATGCTTCATCATGCACCGTGGCTCTCAAGCATCTCGGAGACGTGTGAGATGGCGACACGGGGCGACAGTGGCCATGCTAGACACTGCGCCACTTGAGAACGTCCATCGGTTGCGCTTGTCTCTTGGGAACAACCGAGAACAAAGAAGAGGTCACCGTCTCAGCTTCGCCTTTCAATGTCACTACGAACAGGAGTCTCAAGCGACTCCATGCCTGCTCAAACTACAAAATGCTTCATCACGCACGGTGGCTCACAACCATCTCGGCTCATCAACTACACCGCGAGAGATGGAGACATGGGGCGACAATGGCCACGCTGGCCACCACACTGCGCCACGTGAGAACGTCCATAGGTTGCAAGCAGCACAGATCATTGCTGCCGAATCACTGCAAACAATGGCCCCTTTCTGAGCGATCCGCACAATCCACTCTTTTGATGGGGGGCAACCGAGAACCAATGAAAGGGCCACCGTCTCAGCTTAGCCTTTCAATGTCACTAGGAGCAGGAGCCTCACGCGACTCCACGCCTGCTCAAATTACAAAATGCTTCATCACGCACAGAGGCTCTCGACCATCTCGGCGTATCAAGAGGAACCCGTAGCGATTGCCGCACCCTCCCTTTCCCACTCCCCCCCTCCCGAATCGTCTTGCCACATCCCCGGGGCCCGACGCGGGGTCCCCAGAGGCTACGCTTTACACAGAGTCTCGGGAGGTAGGATGGGGATGGAGGAGAAACGGGGAAACCCCTTGGTCTGGCGCGCGGGCGGCAGATCCACGGGAAGGGGGAGAGCACCCCCAGAGACAGGGAAGCCACTGCCGCCCGACTTTGCGACGGCGCGCGCCAGTTCTGCACGGAAGCGGGGCCCGCTGCGAGTCCACGCGGCCCGGTGCACTCGTGCGCTCCCTCGAGCAAGGGCGGCTGGAGGATGGCCGCGGCTTCCCCCTCGCCCGCCCCCCCCCCCCCCCCCCCGGGAAGGCGGCGGGCGGGCGGCGCGGGCGCCGACTTTCTCTCTCCCGCGCCAGCGCGTCGGCCACCGCCAGGGTCGCCTAGGTCTTTGTGGTTTGTCGGCGGACTTGGGCTCGCAGACCGGGGTGCGTCAGACATCTGCCTCGCCGATCTCGGGCAGGACGAAAGGGGCGTAGCGAAAGGAGGGTCCTCGAAACAGCTCACCGATCTCGCCGAGATTCGGGGGAGCGCCTGGTGGCGGGGCCGAGTCAAACTGGATGCAGCAGACTTCGAAACCCTCCATGTCGCCCGACCCGATGATCCCGGCTAGGCCCATCCTGAGCCAAGAACAAGGCCTCGGGTGTGAAAGATGGGGCCAGCAGGATGGGCGCATCGTGGCCCGACGCAGGTGCGCGGACGAGGGGGGGCCAGGAGACGTGGTGAAAGCAGAGGGGGGAGCCACGAAATCTGGAAGATCTCATAGCCGTTCCCATGACATCTACACCCTCCTTGTCCAGAAAAAGAAGAACGAAAGGCCATGAATATAAACCATAAGCTTGGGACGCTCCGCGCAGACTCTTGGATCCGCGCTGGACCCCCCTCTGGCGCTCGGAGCGCGCCAGGGGGCCGCTGGAGGGGCCCAGCGCGGATCCAAGAAATCTGCGCGGAGCGCCAAAAGTTTATGTCTGTGGCCTTGTCTCCTCTTCGACCCATGAAATCTGGAAGATCTCCTGGCCGTTGCGACGACAGCTGCACCCTGCTTGCCCTCTCCCCCCTCTTCGAGGCCCTCGGGGTCTGTACGCCCTCCCGGCCTGGCCAGGGAGGCACGTGCACCGACCCCCGGCCGCAGGCTCGGCGATCCGGCGGGGATCGGCGAGGCGGATGGCTGACGCCCCTGGGCAGACAAAGCATAACATATTCCCCCGAGAGGGAAAGGAGAGGGGAAATATCCGCCACCAGGCACCAGACCTGCAAAGCCCCCACACTATTAGAGAGCACGTGTGCACTCGTGTGGAAATGTCTGCGTTCAGAGAAGAAGAGTGCACGGAGGTCGAAGCTTGCCTGGGAGGGCAGCGCATGAACCAATCGGGCATGAAACAGCCGCCTCAGCGCAGCGGTCTGACCATGACAGGAGGGCCCAGAATGGAAGTCGGATCGGCGATCGACATGAATCGGATCGGCGGAAATCGGCAACCGAAACGCGCGAAATCGAATGGGCGGCAATCGGCAGGCTAATAGGCCTCCGCTGAGGAACCGGACTCCAAATCGGAATCCCAAGACGAATCGAGTCGGAATCGGAAGCCATCGAAATCGAATCGAATCGAATCGGGGGAACCAACACAAGCCCTGCCAGGATTCCCAGCGCAGCGTCATCGATATCGGTATAGCATGCTCGGCTTCTGGCACATCTGTGCTCGCCGAGCTCGGGCCGAACTATAGCAGGGCTCGGTGGAGAAGCGTTGCCCAGGCATATGTTTTCTGAGAGGCTGTGCGTTAGAACTGTTGTAATTAGCCTTGTGCTGTTTAGCCGATGCGCCGTGCGGCGCGGCTCCACTGACTGCCTGCTCCTCCTCGCTGGCCTGGGCAGCGCGAGCAGTCTCCCCCTCCTCCAGGGATGCGAGCAGGGCAGCGGGCGTGGGCCCCTCGCGCAGGGTACGCCCGAAGCGGGGACGGAGAAGAAAGCCCGGTGACAGCGACGGCACCGACTGCGAGTCCGGTCCACAATGGGCAGGGCCGTTGTTTCACTGTTTCCGACAAAAAAGTCAATTGAAAATGGAAACGGCAAAAAAACGTCGACCGGAAACGGCCGAACGGGCAGGGACGGCAAAAAAATGGAACGGGCAGGGACGGAAACGGCAGGGCCGTTTTTGTCACCGCTTCCGAAAAAAAACTCGGCTAAACAACGGCGACCGGAAACGACAACAAAAACGGCTCCAGGATTGGAACCAGAGCGGGAACCCG